TGCGCCACTGGGGAGGCCCCCAAACTTTTTATTTCTGAGTAAAACTATTTAAGTTTTTTTTTTTCTCTAATTTCTTAGTGTGTTGCTATTCTGCTTTTTTGCATATTGGATGTTACATGTTCATGAAGGAGTATATCTGATGGGGTTTTCAAGTGATAGTCCAGAGGCAATATTCAAAATAGTTACTTTAAATCCCTCTGATCTGAATGCTATTGATGAGCCCATTTCTGTATCCAGAATTGTGACAATATATATAAAAGAGACGTAAGTCAGTGGCCTTGCTTTTGAGGTGCTGTTTAGGTGTTGAGGTAAGACATGGGTATTGTAATAACTGCAAAATAATTAAGCACTGAAATACATACTTCAGTGTCCCCAGGCTTTTCTGGGCCTGCTTAGCCTATTGCCTGTTTCCTTCCACCCCAACACTTACAGCACACCTGGCTCTATTCAATATTCCTGCCTGCTTGTGATGGTGTTCTCATGACAAAATTCACATGAGTTCATCAACTAACCTGGCTGCCAGTCATGAGGAGACATCTTTCGTGCACTTTCCTCCTATTTTTGTTTTTTTTTTTGGTCACTGTCCTCTCTTCAGGAAGGTGCTTAGGCTGACTCATCTCTGTCTCTGTTGCTGGTAGCTGCTAGCATATTGAGCACATGGGTGCAGGATTTCATTGTTGCCCAGGGGGTCAAATGCTCAGGTGCAGGAGTATGTTGTGTTCCATGATGAAGGGTGGTAACCACCCCCTCTATCAGCAACTCAGAGTCTCACTGGATCACCTGGACACCAAAACTTTAGGATGCTTGCTTCTCTGTCTCATTCATGACTTTCCTCATTTGGTACGTATTTATGGAGCACCTCATATGCTAGACTCTATGATAGGCATTGATTCTATGATGGTGAACAAAGGTAGAGTGCTTTGTCATGTTTAATGCAAGAATAAATATCACAATAATCAAGGACAAATGAAATGTGTTAAGCACTAGAATTGAGAGGGGTGTGGTGATGTGGATGTGAAGATTTTAATGCAGAGTTTGACAGCTCTCAAAGACTTCTCCAAGGAATTGAGTGGAACATCATCTGAGGAAAGAAGCAGTGAGTTAGTGAGTCTCAGGCAGAGGATGCTCACGGACATAAGCTGTCTGGGGAGTTCCTTCAGTTCGTTTTTCAACTTCAGTCATGGACCCATGTGGGCAGAAGGGAGGGTCTATGCCTGAGACAGACTGTGTGCCTTCCCTGTCAACCTTTTTTCTTCCCATTTTATCCTTTGTGTCAGTTTCTTTTGCATGCATGGCAACTCAAAGATTTCACAAATGAATTAGACATTCTAGAGCATGCCTCAATCCCAGGCACACATAGAACTTTTACTCAAAAAAGAACCCATGTTTCTACAAGGTCTGTAGGAGGAGGGGAGTGGAGATAAGCCTGAGCTGATTTTCCTGAAATACAATGGAAGAGGAGGGACTTAAGCTGTGCTTGAAAGAAAGGGAAGGCAAAGAAGGCCAGGCACAGAGGTGGGAGAGGCAGATGGATAAAGGATAAAGGTAGGAACAACCTTGTTTATGAGAAGAGGTAAAGAGACCAGGCCTGCTGGAATAGGCAGCTTACTAGGAGACCATAAATGAGGGTCAGATTGTAGAGAGCCTTGAATATCTGGAGGGGAATTTGGTGCTTTGTTACTGAGTACTGTAGGGAGACAATGCACATTCTTGAAAAAAGAAGGGATGTAATGCAGATGACTTTACAGAGTTTGAGAAAAAGATTAAGGGGTGATGATCAGAAGAGCTCTTAGAATCTTGCTACGATGATTATTACAATTATTTTGAGTTTTGAGTTTGTGATAATGGTAGCTTAACCATTGATCAGTGTCCACTACTTAACTGGAAATGTGAGACTGGCACAAGGGAAACATCCAGACTTGATTTTTTTTTAAAGATTTATTTATTTATTTTTTATACAAGAACTGGGGTACAGGCCAGATGCGCGGGAGGGTGAGAGGATTCACCAGAGACAGAGCGGGGAACAGAACAGGCAGACTGATGAAATACACTGCTGAGAGGAGCAGCGGGTGAGGCAGGAGAGGTCTGCCCCACCATGTGGGACCCTTGCCGGCCGGCCGGGATTGAACTGGCACTGCAGAGGCTGCAGACAGCTTCACAGCGCGGCACTCAACCACCTGCACCACCAGGGGAGGCCCAGACTTGATATTTTAATCATACACATAGACATGATGTTTTTGCAATGAGAAGGAATAAGAAGAGACTTTTACTGTGTTGACAGTAGAAAAGACATGTTTATGTTAGTTAAAAATTCACTTCAAAGATTCTCTTACTTTTTCAATTCAATCTGACTATTGTTTAAAAGATGACTGGTTGAAAAATATTTTTGTGTTACTACTCATGGTTCAGCCAATTGTACCTGTGTGTTGGTGCACAGGAGGTATTTGTTGCTTATTGATTGAATTTGTCAACAATTGATCTCAGTTTCATAGCATCTTGTCTTTGATAAACATTTTTCTGTGCTTGATAGGGAATATATGTCTATGCGGATATCATAGGCAGAATTAGGAGATACACAGATAAATGCATATACATATAAATAAACTTTATTTCATTTTATTGTTCCCAAAGGTTAAAACATACAAACAAGGAATAAAATTAAAATTATTTTCTTTGGGGATGATTTATGTCTTAATTTTCACCTGCCCTATAATTAGAAATTTTGAACTCTGTGAATTTCTTTAGGATAAAATTATAGCCCAAGTGAACTTCAGAAATTATATCATTAACCCAGAGACCTTTCTAAACCTAGAACAACATTATTGGTAGAAGTTCCATACACCCACAGAGACAAATAAAGAGGAAAGTTTAAAATAATTTGAAAATGATTTATTGCCGGCCACCTCTGTAGTTAGAGATTCAAGTATTATTACTTTACTTTAGTGCAACAAGGGAGGACAGTAAGTTGCTGTGGGCTAAAGGTAAATTATGATCTATTACAAAGGAGGGAGGAAATGTACTGAGGAAAGAAGAAGGAGTTGGGAGTGACCCATGTGTTTTCTGAAGTACTGCTTCAGAAAATGCCTTGAAAAAATCTTTGTCTTGACCCTTGCTGGAAAGATCAGCACAAATTGCAAGACAGATGGCCTTCTTGAATCTCTGATAGTTAAGGAGTTGCGTGCTAGTATAGGGAGGATCAGATGGATGCGCTGGTACCCAATACAGAGCAAGAGGTCTAGGGTCTAAGACTCCCCTTCTTTGATTTTCCCAAGCAATTCTCTCCTGGATACACTCAGTTTTAGACTTTGAATAGATCATTTAAAACTATTTTTTTAAAGATTTATTTATTTATGCATACAAGAACTGGGGTACAGGCCCGAGGTATAGGGGGTGAGAGGATTCAGAGACAGAGTGGGGAACAGAACGGGCAGACTGACTGAAATACACTGCTGAGGGGAGCAGCAGGGGGGCAGGAGAGGTCTGTTGTGCCCATGTGGGTTGCTCCCTGGCTGGCTGGGGATCGAACTCATCCTGCATAGGCTATGGATAGCTTCATAGTACTGTGCTTAACCCCTTGAGCCACTAGGGAGGCCCCTTGAAACTAATTTGTAATGGAAGTAATATTGCATTATAACATGTCATCAGTTTCATGGGACCATCTATATAGATGGTCACTACTAACAGTCCAATTTTTATCCTTCACCACATAATTGGCCTCTTTTACCATTTTCCTACCCACCTTCCCCCTTTCCTTCTGATAAGTACTCATTTGATTTTATAGTCTGAAAATTTATATTTCTTTTACTTAATTCACTTTGTTTTGGTTATTTGCCACATGTGAGTGAAAGATAGTGTTTATCTTCATCTGACTTATTTCACTAAGCATAATCATTTAGGCTGTTGTTTTGGATATCAAGATTTCATCTTTTTAAAAAAATTAGTAGTGTTCCTTTGTGTATATGCACTATATCTTCTTTATCCACTTGCCTATTGATGGGCACTTAGGTTATTTCCAGCTCTTGGCTATTGTAAATAATGGTGCAGTGAACATGGGTGTACAGGTATCTAGAAGGGGTCATTTAACTCATCAAGACTTAGGACAACCACTCCAAGATAATTTTGAATCTTACTCTACTGACATTATTTGTAAAGTGAGTTGTAGTCTTAGGATTAGAAGTTCATGGTGAACTTCCATGTGGCAGAGTCTAGTCTAGAGTCATTTGTTTTAATTTGAAATAAGAAAGAGATGGTAAAATTTCATCCTGCAAACACAGTGTAAGGATGCTAGAGAGAAGATTAAAATGCTATTATGTGGTAAGGTCCAATCGGCCTGCTTCATAGATATTGTTATCTCATTTAATCCACCTAAAGCCTGTGGGGAAAGGCCTTGTTATGTCTGCTCTGTTACTGATGAAACTGAAGAATACTTTTAAGTATATTATCCAAAGAATTATAGTTGGAATTGGGCAACTGTTACTCCATTGTAAGTTTAGTCTGACTCCAAAGTGTGTTCTTCATATCCTACTACTCTCTGTCCTGGGTTTCTTTGATTGCCACCATGTGACAGCTGAGAAAACTAGTGTCAAAAAAGGAAAGGGGTCTCCCTGGTGGTGCAAGGGGTTAAGCACAGCACTGTGAAGCAATCTGCAGCATCTGCAGCATGACTTTGATCCCTGGCCGGCCAGAGAGCTACCCACATGGCGCAGCAGACCTCTCCTGTCACGCCCGCTGCTCCCCTCATCAGTGTATTTCAGTCAATCTGCCTATTCTTTTCCCACTGTCTCCAGTGAATCCTCTCACCCCCCGCACCTCTGGCCTGTTCCCAGCTCTTGTGTGCAGAAATAATTTTTTTTTTTTAAAAAAGGAAAGGCTTGGTGCCTATGGAGCCTGAAACTTAACTTTCCTAGGTTCCTCTTTCACAGCATTCTTTGACTGACTGATATCACATTTGTATTAATTATTAAAATGTATAGAGGCAAGTTTTTCTTGGATTGCTTTAGGTTCACCCTCAGAAGTAACTGTCACCCACCTTCGGGCAGCTGCCTCCGCCCATGACACAATCCTGGCTCTGGAAGATGCTGTGCACTGGCGGCCTGGGGATGAAGCTGTCATCATCAGTGGAGCAGGTGTTGAAGGTGTCAATGCCATGGAAGAGATTGTGGTTGTGGAAACTGTGCGCAGTGCAAACCTCTACCTGAGGTCACCCTTGAGGTACCGACTATCAGCCTGGTCCCCCTTAATTGGAAGAAGATGAGATTTTTAACTATCTTGATGTCTGGACATTCTGTCTTTTGATGATTTATTTTTACACTGAATGATGCTAGACATTTTGATGAGAACATTACAAAGATTTGAAGATTTCAATACACTTTTCTTGTATGAATTGAGAACATCTATGCACCTTGTTTCTAATTTCACCTACTTGTACCCATGATATGCTCTTCTCTTTTAGAGTTTCTAGAGAAATAGACCTACCAAGTAGAGAATTATGCTAATTAGTGGCTGATGAGTCCTAATAAGTTTTTGAGTAATACCTTAAAAGATGGGTCTTTTTCTTTTTTCCCTCAGATATTCTCACAACTTCACGGAGACTTGGGTGGCTGGAGAGCACTACATTTTAAAGGCCACAGTGGCCCTGCTGAGTAGGAGTATCACCATCCGAGGCAATCTTACTGCTGAGAGGACAAAGCTCCTTGCTTCATGCCGGGAGGTCACTGCTTCAGAAGGTAGAGCAGCATTTTGTCGAGAAGTCCAAAGAATGAGAGAGAATGTTCTTATTGTCCAGTGATATGTGGCATTGTTGACATCTTTCAAAGAGACTAAGCCCTTAGCCTTTGCATATTTCCATAATGTGCTGTCATTTTCTAAAATCTTCTGATAAATTATCATTTCATCTCCTGCCTTCGAAAACCTTGTGAAAGAGATTTTTTTTTCCGTTGGAGAAATTCATTACTTCTCTGGGGGAAATGAATCCTGGTTAAAAAAATAAATCTGGAGAATCGAATTAAATTTCCGAGTTAGAAGTTATAATGAAGTCTTTTTTTTTTTTTTAAGATTTATTTATTTATTTATACAAGCACTGGGTAGAGTCAGAAGAACGGGAGGGTGAGAGAATTCACCAGAGCCAGAGTGGAGCAGAACAGGCAGAAGGACCGAAGTACACTGCTGAGGGGAGCAGCGGGTGGCAGGAGAGGTCTGTGCGCCATGTGGGACCCTCCTCTGGTGGCCGGGGAGCAGCCGGGGATCGAACTGGCACTGCAGGGGCTGCGGGCAGCTTCGCAACCCAGCGCTCAACCGCTGTGCCACCAGGGAGGCCCTATAATGAAGTCTTAACTCTGATTCTACACCCTCTCTAAAATTTTCAGGAAAACAGTTTAATGCCAGAGTCCTGGCATAGGCAGCACATTCTTACTGACTAGACCTGTAGGGATCCTCCCTCCCCTGCCCCCACTTTTGGGTTTGTATTTTGAGTGAACTACTGTGTACTTTAGGTAAGTGGCTGAAAAAGTCAATTTATCTTCTGGTAGAGTAACAGGCACTGAATCACACTGATGTGCCTATTAAACATCTATTTCAGGGATGGTTAGTTTAGTAGGTTATGTTTTGGTTTCCCAGGCTGTAGATTATGAGACTTTCACATGTTGTGAAGACATCATTTGTCAACTTGGATCTAGGATGGTGTGGGTGTCAAGGATGACTCCCAGGCATGAGCTCTGGATGGATGATGGGGCCATTTATTGAGATGGAAAGTGGAGCAGGTTTGGGTGGGAAGGTGGAGATCATGAATTTGTTTGTGTGTATGTCGACACTGATATGCCAGGCCAGGATCTGTGCAGACATGTCTGGTGACACCTGGAGCCTGGTAGAAGTGTCAGGGTTGGAGTCAAAGCTGTGAGTCATGTCTCCATAGAGATATAGTGTTAGGGTATAGTGTTAGGATGTAGTTGGGCCAGAGGGACCTTGACCCCACACCTTTAGTTGACCATTGTGGTCATCTACCTCACAAATGTGTCATTCTGAAAAATGTTTGGATATAGTGGGTTAGAATTCAGTGATTGCCAACATTAACAATTCTGCTGAATTCTGTCTTCCATTCCGTCTCTCCTGATATTCTCCCACAGGTAATCTCAGACCATATTGTAACAAACGTTGCCTTTGATCATGCTGCAAGTGAGCTCACATTTCTACGTATTGATCTTTAATAATCTGTTCACTCCTGATGGAAAAAAAATCCATGATTTCACAACAGTTCATAAACATTATTACAAAATTCACAATATAAAACAAATTTATACACCTTCATTAAAAAAAATCCTTCACCCTTTCTTTGTGTAGGCTTGAAACAGGGGAATGAGTTAGCTCAATGCAATACTAGAAGGTCTGACCTCTCAAAAATATCATGGATCATTTGTGCCAATCGTCAGAATTGTGATCACACACAAAAATATGAAATGTTTCTTTATTTCCCTTTTATATATTCATTCTCTGGGTGTTAAAATGGCTGGATTCTGAAATTTACTATAGATTATGTACCATGGAATGATACATCATTTTGTATTATTGGTCACTTCTTTGGTTTATTACTCTGGTCAATAAATAATGAGTTCAGGAGACAGTTTCTTCTACATTGTGAGGTTTTTTTCCATACCACCAAATGCTTCATGTTAGCAGGAAGTGTGTGCCTTGTGCCATAGTTAGCTGTACTCTCCAGGGACATGGCTGGGAAGGAAGCTTTGGTGCAGGGGCTCTCAGTTGATCCTCTGGACCCTTTGTCTTTTTGCAGTGGTATTATTGCTAAGTTCTCAAACTATAAGGCATCAAAGTAAAGGAGAAACCCAACTGGACAGCTTAAAACTAAAAAAAGAGCTGTGATTACATTCAGTGCTCACATCTCTTCCCTACAATTATCAACCACGAGAAGGTCATTTTATTGCACACTCCCTCCAGGGGATCTTTTGGATTGAAATAAACATCTATTTAGGTTGAGTTTGTGGGTTATAGTCAGCTTCTTTGTGACAGTAATTAAGGTGATTGATTTGGGGGCTTCTGGAAATAATAGAGTGAAGGCAACATTATGTCCCAGTTATTGGGTGTTTTAATTAATAATCCAAAGAATCACGGTAAAAAAGGAAGTAAGATTATTAAATGAAATAAATAGTAATGGTTTGTCCTTTTTTGCTGTCAGTGCCTTTCAAACTAGGAGATTTCTCCAGAAGCATGTGGATATATATCTTGAGCCTACCCAGCTTCATTTTGTGTTTTAGGTAATTTGCAGAACTGTTTGTATTCCAAAAGTGAGAAGATGCTGGGATCAAGGGACCTGGGGGCCAGACTCATTGTTCAGTCCTTTCCAGAGGAGCCCAGCCGGGTCCTGTTGAAGGGAGTGCAGTTCCGGGACTTGGGGCAAGCCTTCCATAAGCATCTGAGCTCCTTGACTGTGGTGGGAGATATGAGAGGTAAGGGGTCCCCACTTAGTACTTTGTATTTTTCTTCTTCCATGTTTAAGTCACTGTCAACAGGGAGTCATAATAAAGAGGTATATAAGGGACATGGGAGGGGTCAGTGATGGATAATTATACTCTAGATCTGTGGTTCTCAAACTTTAATATGCCTAAAAGTATCAATGGAGAAAGTTACTGAATTTTTGAGTTATAAAGCCTACCCCAATTAATTTTGATTTAAGGTGGGGCTAGGGATCTGAAGTTTTAGCAAGTATATGGTATGCTCCAGAGAAGTGCACTTTGAGAAACATCACTATAGGCACAACAGACAAGGACTGGGTCACAGAAATCTGTGTTTTGAAAGTGGCCTCTGCCATTTACTAACTGTGACTACAGGTAAGTTGATAATTGATTAGGATAAATCATCAAAGCTGTGGGAATCCAGGCAGTGCACGGAGCACTTTATATTAAGTTGTCCTAACTCAAAAGACTCTTCTGCTGAGGGAAATCAAGAAGAATGGGTTGAGAACCAGATGGCATGCAGATCTTTTCTAGAACTGAAGATAAGGGAAGGGAACAGGGAAGATCAAATGCAGGTGAGAACAACTGGATAAACAAACAAACAAAAAAACACCCCAAAAACAGAGCAAGAAAAGAATATGATCCAAGTTGAAGGGACACAGGAGCTTTGAGGACAAAGAACTTAGTATCAGAAGCTAATGTAAAGAATCAGAGAACTGAGGTTCAGATCCTAAGTAATGATGAGTGCAGCTCCATTTCTGCATTATCTTTCCATCCTTCAGTGCCTCCACCACCCACACATTCAAATTTTGCCTTCTTTAAAAAAGAGGTGTTATGGGTGTAGTTGGTGGTTCAGGAGGGCTTTGAGAGATGCTGGGATTTCAACAGTTAATGAAAGAATAATCCTTGGTGCCATTGGGGCAAGATCCTGGCTAGTCAATTGCAGCATTTTCACCCCTCATTTCTACAAATCATCTCACATGCCAAAGATGCCTATTTATCGTAATTTTCCAGATATCTTCCATTTTATTTTTAGCATTCATTTCGAGAGATGGTCCCTAACAAGACCGCTGCTTTAATGTTATGGGATGATCAGTATCTTTGTACCCTTCTCTCTGATGCTTTGGTTTTCTGGTACTTATAGTGCTGCAGAATATTTGGCATGTTAGGTCCAGTAAAAGTGAGGGTAGCTGACACATATGAGTTAGCAACTGAGCATCAAATTCCTCCCTTTTTCAAAATTCACTTAACCCATTTCCTCCAACCTCGGCTTCAGAATAGCTGCACTTTGATCTATTTTTACATATTAGGTTTTATTAGGAAAAAGGTTCAATGCTTTAAAAAATTTGAAAACCACTGAACTAATACATTATACCCTCTTGGTCTCTGTTAAAATGCACATGTGTTGCCTGGGAGGGGATAGCACATTAACCAGAGATTAAAAACTTCTGGCATGCTTGCTAAAGAATCTTTTATTGTTTCATACCCTGAAAAATTTCTCATGCCCGCTGTTGCTGATTGCCTGCAGCCACTAGAGTTAGGAGGTGTTGGAATCTTTGCACCCTACTTTTAAAGATTAATCAATCCCTGAACTCCACCATAATAGGTCTATAAACACATTAGGACCTATTAGTTGCTCACATGGGCAGTCATGTTCTGATCGGGTGATGTTATGTAGGCATCTGGAGTCAGGAAAGGTCAGCTTTAGGTCTTGTTTCTTACATTAGTGACTATGGATGCTTTAACTTATTGGGGTAGGCCCTTGGTGAGCAATATGAGTGTACTTGGAAATTAAGGGCCCTAAAATCAAGGAGAGACCCAGCATCTATGAGATTTTAGTATTTTTCTAGTCATCTAAACATTTGACATTTATGTATTATCCCCCAATATCTGGCAATAATGTAAAATCTCCATTTCCCCAGAATTTATCATGAAATTATCCAATCAGTAAATTTTAATTATTTTAATCTGCATATCCTCCATCAGACAGAAGATGCTCAAGTGCAGAATTTACGTAGTTTCGTTCATTTTACATTTCCAAAATTGTATAATTCCTGAGATATTAAAAGTATATTCAGTAAATACACACTGGCAGATCCAGCCCACATAAAGTTATTTGAGGATGATAAAATATTCCTATGGAGTCAGTGTAATGATTTTCTTAAGTATCAATTCCTTTAACATCAGCTTCAACTTCAGAAGACCACCACATTCGAACATGAGAGTTGCGATCCTGAGCTTACCCTCTGGCTTTGCTTACAATTAGGGATAGTTATCTTTGGCTGTTTTGGGTCAAGAATATTATTGGGTGCTTCCCTGGTGGTGCAGGGGTTAAAGTCTCATCACTATCAAGCTATCATCAGCCACTGCAACATGAATTTGATCCCTGGCCAGGGAGATAACCCACATGGCACAGCAGACCTCTCCTGTCTCTCCTGCTGCTCCCCTCAGCAGAGTATTTCTGTAGATCTGACTGTTCAGTAGATTTGCAGATCTACTGTTCTTCTTGCAAGATTCTTTTCCCCCATCTTTCCTAGTCCATCTGTTTAAACTCTTAGCAACAATCCTTATTTATTTAAAATTATAATAATGGTTCTTATTATCTGATAATGTGTGCTTTACCATCACATTTCATGTAAACATTCTGGTATTCTAGTGAATCCTCTGACCCCCTGAACCTCTGGCCTACACCCCAGTTCTTGTATGCATACATACATTAAAATAAAAAAAAAACTTAAAAAATAATATTGAATGGCAAAAAGTGTTATTTCACATCTCAAGAAAAAAGACTATGATAAACAGTTTTTAAACATTAGGACTGGTCCCCACACAGTATTTTCACATTGTTCTTAACTTCTCTTTAGCCACAGTACGGTATGCTATGATTAGAATCAATAGAAAAGATGGTAGCCACTTGGAATTTTTAGCAATCATGCATTTTTTGGCCATAGTATCTCTTTCCCAGGTGGTTTCTTTTTATAATACTTGAAACTTCAACTCCAACCTGCTTGTCTTTAGTATCTTTAAGAAGCATTGGTGTGAGTTGTCCATTTTTATAATTTGATTGCTACATCTTACTCCATATTTCCTGAGTTTTATTACAGTGTGGGGGTGTTTTTGTTATATTAAAGTTTGCCTTGGAGATGATGAACATAATCTGAGGAAACTTAGAGATTCCCTTCAAATTTTTACCTCACTTTTTCCAATTCAGAATCCTACATTAAGGGATGCTCTGTGTGGGGATCCTTCAGCAGAGGCCTCAGCATGGCAAGGACCGTGGGCCTGATCGTTGAGAGAAATGTGTTCTACAACATTTTGGGCCATGCACTGTTGGTGGGTAAGTGATGGTCTCGCTTAGTTTTGATGTTCTTGAGTAGGACACAGGTTTCTAAAAGGAATTGTCCTAAAATTTGAATTACCATTTTACAAAAGTCATAGTCTCTGATCATTAGAATTAGGCCACATTTAAAAAATGTTATTTTAAATTTAATCATCACTAATTAGCTTACTAAATTTTACTGAATTGTAAACTGGTTTTTTGATAAGTGACACATCAGTTCAGGTTAATAAATATATGATGGGAGGTCCTCAAGTTGATGTTCAGCAATTTTCACAATAATTCAAAGTCACATATATACATGTGTGCAAATAAATTTGCATAGTCTCACAGTGTCAACTCTGGATGTTGGCCAAGGAGTTAGAAATCTTGAATTCTGTTCTTAGCTGCTCCTGTGCTTGCTGAAGAAACCCATGTTTTAGAATCTTCTAACAGGTCAGTTGTATACACTTTTGTTTCCTAAATTTCATTTCCCTTGCAGAACCAGAATGTCCCCTTAAAGATCTCAAATTGCATCTTACCATTCCTCTCCTTAAAATCCTTTAAGAGTTTCTTACTGCTCTCACAATACAAACCAAAATCCATAACTGGCTTGAAAGATTGTCTCAGTGATTTTACATCTATTAACCTTTGTGAGCTTGTCTTGCTCTTTTTCTTTCCCTCTGTACTTTAGCTCTGCTGGCTTATTTTAATAGTTTCAAAGAACCAGACTTTCCTCTGCTTCAGGGCCTTGGCACAAGCTCTTTCACTCTATTCATATCACTCTGTCTCTTCTTGCAAGATTCTTTACCCCCATCTTTCCTAGTTCATCTATTTAAACTCTTAGAAACAATCTTTATTATAAATTATAATAATGGTTCTTATTATCTGCTAATGTCTGCTTTACCATCAGATTTCATGATAGAATGTGAACATTCTATCCTTGGCACTTAGCCCATTAACCTCATAGGTGCATTCATTGAAAGAAACAAATTAACGAATAAAGGGTCTTTACTTATATCAGGATGAAAAAGCAAACCAGAGGGTGTCACTGAAAGCAAGACTATAACTATATTTGTTAAATAGTATTTTATATTTAAACTAATTCTGTGACATCATCAGAGGAAAAGTGTTTGTCTCATTTAAGAATGATCTGTTGAGATTAAATATATAAAGGTTCTAATTCTAAGAGAGAAGCAATTTAGTGAGGAAATATGGGTCACATAAACTTGCTTTAAAAGGTTGCAGCTCTAAAAGGCAAAGAACTATGGATTATAGAGGCAGTTAGGTGTAGACAGACCTTTTGATTTGGAAAGGACAGCTGCAGAGAAGTCAGACTCACAGCTGACTTTGTTTATTCTTCATTTTGTCTGTGTAAGGGAAAAAATTGCTGAAACTTGGATCAGGAATTCAGGATGGTGCCCTAATATAATTATTTTAGCAGAAAAGAAATATATGGAGTAGACATTAACTAGGCAGGAAAGACAACTGTAGGAGAAATTTAGCTTTTACTGTTTGACTGTTGTGAATTGGAGGCTTTTGAGGTCTAGGATATATCAGGCGAGGGAATTAGAACATTTGTTTATTAGCACATTACAGATAAGGTACTCAGCATATATACAATGAGCTTGCACACCCAAACTTATGATTTGAAATGGGAAGCCAAGATGCTTAACACTTAGTAAGGGGTCTCTTAAGAGCTGCTTTTTTTTTTTTTTTATACCACATAAATGAGTGATCTCTGTCTCTTTATGGTGTGACCCATTCTTTCTCTTCTACTCTAAACTACCATCTCCGTGGTTTGGGTGTGAGGTCCCAGGTACTGTCCAGCCTGTTTCTCTAGGACATTTCGGGTCTTCCCAGGAATGAGAAAAGGCCTGGGGAGAGCTGGCAAGCAATTTTAACAGGGCTGAGAAAGGCACTTACACAGGGTGTGTGGCATTTGAATAATGAGACAGTCACTTAGGGTCTTTATTTTATTTTTAAATTTTATTTATTAATCTTTTAATGAAAATTTTCCACTTCTAGGGATCTATCCAAAGGACACAAAAGCATTGATTCCAAAGAATACCTGTACCCCTATGTTTATTGCAGGGTCTTTTTTTTTATTTTAAAGATTTATTTATTTATTTATACAAGCACTGGGTATAGTCAGAAGCGCTGGAGGGTGAGAGAATTCACCAGAGCCAGAGTGGGGAACAGAACAGGCAAACTGATGAAATACACTGCTGAGGGGAGCAGCGGGTGGCAGGAGAGGTCTGTGCGCCATGTGGGACCCTCGCCGGTGGCCGGAGATGGAACCAGCACTGTAGAGGCTGCGGGGACTTGGCAGCCTAGCGCTCAACCGCTGCGCCACCTGGGAGGCCCCTGCAGGGTTTTTTTTTTTTTTTTTAAATGAAGGTTTATTTATTTTTGCATAGAAGATCTGGGGTATAGGCCAGAGATGCGGGGGGTGGGATGAGAGGACTCACCAGAGACAGAGTGGGGAGCAGAACAGGCAGACTGACTGAAATACATTGCTAAGAGGAGCAGCAGGTGAGACAGAAGAAGTCTGCTGTGCCATGTGGGTCAGCTCCCTGGCGGGGGACCAAACTCAGGCAGTTGCAGTGGGCTGTTGTGGTGCTAGCAATGAGCTTTAATCCCTAGGCCACTAGGGAGGCCCTCACTTAGGGTCTTTCTAAAATATTAAACAGTATATTTTTTCTCTATTCTTTTTTAAATTTAAAATGAACTTATCCATGACATTCTAGAACTAAAACACCCATAGTCCATATCTCTGTCTGGTTCACACACACAAACAAAAATCAAAATATGCCGTATCAAAAAGAAGAAATATTTTTGCAATAGCCCTCATTTTACTATGTGGCATGTGGTGATGTACTGAATTAACATGATTGTTTGTTTTCAGGAACCCACATGGACATAAGATATATTCCTTGGGAGGTTATTCCTGGAAATAAAAATGGTAAATATGTAAATTGGTTTTAAATCCATTATAATCCATTACAATTGTCAAATACTTTATAGATAGACTTGATGACAAAAATGTTAGATGTCTTAAATTTGTTGAACATACCTGAATGTTTGATCATTTCACACTCACACACACACACACACACACACACATATATGATTGTTGTCACTGGGAACCCATGGGGAGTAGTTCCAGGATCCCCCTACCACCTCACCAGGTATACCAAAATCTATGCAACCTCGTGTCCCTTAATATGAAATTGAGTAGTATTTGCCTATAACTTATGCATATCCCTCTATATACTTTAAATCATCTACTGATTGCTTATAACACCTAATACAATGTAATCATTATGTAATTGCATTATTATACTTGTTATAATAATAATAATTGCTATACTATGTTGTTTAGAGAATGAAAATAAGAATAAAAAGTAGTACATGTTCAGTACAGGCATCTTAAGCCCATAAAATATGCATTTTCAATTTGTGGTTTGTTGAATGTTTAGATTCCGAACCTACTGGTATAAAATTGAAAAAGACACACTAGGTCTACTGTTTGTCCACACATATATACATACATATATACACACACACTTATATACATATATACACATATACACACACATATATACATATGCACATATACATTATATGAGTCATAATGTGTATTGGTAAGATCAGGAGTGTTGAGTTGTGCGAATTTTAATTGTGTTTGTGACTCTTGGTTTGATTTATCTTTTTTTAATCAGTCTGGTCAGAACAGGGAAATAGAATAAGAAACAACATGATCATCAGTGTTTCTGGTGCTGAGGGACTTTCCAACCCTGAAATGTTGACACCATCTGGCATCTATATCCATGACCCCACCAATGTTATAGAGGTAAGATCTTCAGTTACGCCAGGAAGGTCAGAGTTGAGAAGGCATAAAATTCACACACAAATTACTTGGAGTGGTGGCATCAGGACTTTGGTATAAAGTGCTTGCTTGTTTCATGTTGATATCAAGATTGTATTTTATGGTTTTGTGTTAAATAGTGCTTTAGGATAAATGTAATCACTTTTCTCTGAATTCCTGTGAAAACTTTTTGAAGTTATACATATATATGTTATATATGGCATATATATGATATAGTAATATATATATATATATATGGTATATAATGAACAAAACAAAGTAGATATTGATTATGTTGTGGTCATTTAGGTTAATGCAAGCTAAAATATCTTCCTGAGCTATTCACTGATTCACTGTGGTTGCTGATTTTTTGTCTTAATCCCAGCTATTATTTCTTATTAAATTGTCACTATATTAACTACATTAATGTGGTCATATTTTTCACCCTTTAAGAGTGTTTGAAACTGAGGGTCAGCAAAGTCATGAGGTGTATGAGATCATGTCAGATTCCAGGATTAAATGATGGCCTTGATTTTTATCCTATTATGTAGCACAACTCAATGGTAATTTTTCTTAGTAAATGTCTCTCTCTAAACACATTCAGAAACCAGTTTTTCTGGGTACAGTTTATCCAGAGATCTTCAAATGAGGAATTGCTTCAGAGTCATGGAAGGCCATTTAATCTCTCCTTTTCCAATGAATTTTATCCCATGGATCATTTATGAAAGGGTTAAGGACCTTACTGTTCCAGAACTTTTCTCTAAGCATCTACTCTGCCATCACAATTATGCTAAGTTTCTGAGGAACTGAGAGAATGAACTTCTCTCTGATCATCTGTTTTTAATTACCTTCAGCTGAATAACCTCTAATAAAAGTCATGGTTATCTCCTCAACCCTTCTCTAAACTCTTAATTATGTTGATTCCAAGCACAGCACTTACACACCATTTTAGGTGCTTAATGGGGGCAGCTAATATGCCAGTGAGTAAAGGAGGCAGAACTGCATGGATTGAAGGAAACCAACTCTAGACCCAGAACAGCAAGAGCTCATTTAACTTGTTGGTGATTATAGGGTTTGTTGGGCAGCTATGCCGGCAAGCATTGGGGATAAAAAACTATGTTTACACAATTTCTTGGGTAGCACAGCCTGGCATATGTTGAAGCATCTAGAGGAAAATAAACTCTTAGTGTTATCCAGTTCATCTTCTATGTGAGGCTGGAATGCCTCTATCTTCCACATTGAATGTTGGAGTGCTGTTATCTGACTTTGCTTCACTTTGCACACTGGCATATTAGCCACCCCCGTTAAGCACCTAAAATGGGCAGTGTGTCATCTCCTTAGCAGGTGTCATGGCCACTAGTCAAGCAGAAGAAGAACTGAGCTGGCTGTAGTTTCAGGGGACCAAAGGGCCAACTAAAATGTTGATAGGTCACCTGAGTCACTCAAACTGACTTGTAGAGCAATGTTAGCTAGAAATGAAAAAATGGAGGCTAAAACCAGCTGTTTGTTCCCCATCAGAAGTCTTCCAGTTTTACTCAGTTACTTTCTTCCACCTATACTCACTTTACAAACTTGAAAAAATTTACATGTGTTTTGAGAATGAGGTTTTCATTTAAGCTGGTAATGTAGGTTCCTTGGCAATATTGATTAGTTATATTCCTGACACTTTTGTTTTTGATGGCCTTCATATACTATAGTTCTATTTCACTGGCATGTTAGCTTTTAGAACCTGGCACAATATCTGAAAACAGTAATTGTTCAATAAAAATGAACTGAAGATGATAATGAATATAGGTATAATAATGACTGTAGGTATAATTCCTTAACCAATGAATGGGATGGAAGAAAGAGAAAAGCAAAGAATAACTTCCAAGTTTCCACAATCATTTTGATGACTGAAAAACAAGATGTTTAATGTGGCAGCGTTTAGATCCTTTGGGATTCATCTGTCAATGTTAAATCTTGTACAATTCATGCCAACTTTTCAGCTGTGCTACTGGTGTTCTGCTCTGCTGTCTCATTTGCTTTCCACTATTGAGAATGTGTCACTACTATACAGACAATAACTGGCATAAAATTTATGAATACATTTTGACCGTTAGGGTAAGTGAAGGTCATTTCAGTTGTTGAGCAAATGATAAGAGGGTGTTTGTGCTTATTAAGTGTGCTCTGTGTGGGAGATCACAGAGTACTTTCAAAATTTTAATTTAGAAATACACTTTTTTCCAAAGGGATGATAAGGAGGCTACAACATGTGTGTGTGTGTGTGTGTGTGTGTGTGTGTGTAACGTAGAATAAGAAAGAGATGTGGAAGGGTCTGCTTCTTCCAGGGTCATTCTGATATCCAGGAGATAGATGTTTCTGGGCTCTTAGGAGCTGTTTCATGGGCGGTGGGTTTTATGTTCTGCACATGAGTAGGTCGGGTTCTGACTGTCTCTTAAGGGACTGTAGTCAATCCTGGTGTGTGCTCAATTTTTGCCACCCATCTCCTGCTTTGCTTTTCAGTTTTCTTGCAGTTTGGCAAAATAGTTTTTAAAAGTTGCTATATTAATGGCTAGCTAGGATTTTTCATTTTTATTTATTTATTTATTTTTTTGTGGGACCCTCGCTGGCGGCCAGGGAACGAACCGGCATTGCAGAGGCTAAGGGCAGCCTCGCAGCCCAGCGCTCAACTGCTGTGCCACTAGGGGAGGCCTCATTTTTATTTTTAAAACTAAAAATATTTAAATAAGTTTAGACTCATTCACCTTGAGAAGAAGTTGCAGAATACAACACAGTTCCTGTGTGCCCTTCTCTCATAATAATGTAATCATAACCTTCAACATAGAGCGATTTCAAAACCAGGAAATTGATATTGGATAATGCCATTAACTGAACAAAAGCCCTTATTTAGATTTGAAGAAAGTGACCTAATCCTAGTGGCTGGGCGACTGTTCCTGAAAGCTTAAGCCTCTCTTCCAAATACAGGAGTATGGCCTTCAAATTTCTGGCCTGCCTATCAAGCAGGGAAGAAATGGAATTGATCCTTAAGTCTCCGCAGTGATGTGCAGCTGTATGTTATTCCCAAGTTGTCCTGACCCACAGCCCAGAAGCAAACGCTTAGCCACAGTGCTTGGCATTCACCTTGGCTTCCATTCTGCATCTTTACTTGGCCATCTTTACGGTTCAGTGGCCTTCAACCCTGTGTGGTGCTGGGATTTCATGTGTGATATGCCTTTTTGGTTTTCAAAGCCATAGCAGTCTGGCTGTCTCCCTGCCCAGACTGCAGCTGAGACAAGTCCTGGGCAGTTTCCCTGAAAAGTGTATCTTTTTGCTAATGAGGAAATGCTAGTGGCATTTCCTGTTTGCCATCTCTAGGGAACCTGTGTTATGCCCTTGCTTTCTCCTTTGCTAGGCCTTTGTATGCTTTCCAAAAACAGGTTGGTGGGGGTTTTCCACACACTGCATGTGCCTGTCAGGGCACTCCCTTTCCAGAATCTCTGTCCTCAGACAAGTCTAGGATCAGAGATTCTGATTCCTTTTTACGGTGCTTTGTTATCTGTCAGGAGGCTCCATCCTTTCAGTAGATATATGTGTATCTACTGTAGGCAGTCAAGTCTTCAGTCTCAAACAGTGAGGGACTATTTATTTCCAGAATTCCAGAGTATCCCATATATATGGAGGTACTGGAAATTTCCTATGACCAGAATTCTGTTTAGGACAGACAGTCTGTGGAAAAACTCTGAAGACGAGTCCTTTGGAAACATCCATTTAATTTGAGGGGAATTTGTTCTGGTTTGTGAATCAATTTTGTAAGGAATTCTGTGTTTAAAGGCCCAATTTCGGTTTTCTAGTTCTCCCCACTCAATAGCTAATGTATATTTAAGAGCTGCCTGAAGGGTTAACTCACTTTTTTCTAGCGACTATAGATGCACACCTCAAGGAGCTGGCTTACTTGGGCAGTTAATTTCTCTCTGGAATTTCTCTTGCTTGAATGTCCATAATACATTGACTTCCGCAAAGAATTGATTTCCACACAAAATTCCCTGCTTGCCTTAAACCCTTCCCCACAAGCCGCCGGCTGCCTGCATAAATATGTGGTTTTTCCTCATGAATCATTTGTAGCATACCCAATTGGAATGGAGAGTATAAAGGGCTGGGAAATGATGTGACCAGACTGTTAAAGTGCTTCTTTCATAAGAAAAGCCGGACTTATCGGCTGAAAGAAGACCGAAGTTTCTATATACTGTCAAGTAAATGTACCTGGAAAGTGTTTGTATGTGATCTCCCAGATGCTCCATAAATACTAATGACACTAGGGCAGATAATTCAACAAATCTATTCATTCACTCAATATACATGCTCTCTGAGCGCCTGTCTGGCAAAGGGGATGAAGAAGGATGTAGTCTTTGCAATGTATTCTGGAGATGTTTGAATCCTTCTCCTCCTGGCACCGCATTTCGTTGGTAACAAAATAGAGGCGTATGACCAAGAGATCAATTTCAGCCTCCAGTTCACCTTTCTCATTGTTTGTATACTTGCAGAAAAGGTGGGTGTTTTAGAAGCCCTATATCCTCACTCTTGGTTCTTACAGATTCGTGGCTTTTCTCATGGCTCATAGGTGTGTTGGGGTCATAACCACTCAACACAGGGAAATGTTTCATTGTGTAATCCTAGCTGAGAATGAATACTTGTGTTACTTTGTATAATCATGAGGGCTGAGGAAATACAGTGGACTCTTGTACTTGACAGCTCAGGGACAGCGATTCTTCTTGAAGTTGAGAATCATGAGTGCATGCCCTGTTTTCTAGCAAGAGGGAAGAACTGAGCTAACTGACTCAATGCTAATAGTTGTTACTTCCAAGAATGCCAGATCTGGTTAAAAAGATAAAATGCCCTCCTGGTAAAGACATTCAAATTATTCTTACTGGAATTAACCATGTTTTTATGTTTAGGTTAGTTTCTCCATCAAAATTTAGAGACAGGATACTGGAAGATGGATATGGTTTATTTCAACAACATGTGGTCCTGTCTGGACTGTAGAGCACAGTTACATTACTGTAGTAGTATTAACATTTGGGGTCATATAACTCTTTGTTGTGAGAGGTTGTCCTTCTGTACTCTGTATAGCAGCACCTCAGCCTTACTCACTGGATGCCAGTAGTATCCCTACCCGTGAGCTGTAACAACCAAAAATGTCTCCAGATATTTCCGAATAATCCCTGGGGGACACTGTCATCCATGATTGACAATCACTGTCCCGGACTATGCCATTCTAAGATAATTGGGGTCTTAGAGATGGCCCTGGTTCCCTAAAGTCAGGTGAGCATTGTGAATAGTAATTCAACTTCATATTCAATGACATCCAAAAGTCACTTTTGCTGAGTACCATGTGGGTGAGACATGTGATTAGAATTTCAAATGGCTTCAGGAAATTGGAAATGCTCAGAATTCAAAATAACAAAGTCTGGAAGAGAATGGACCAGTAGTCCACACAGGAAGAAAATGGTTTGTAACTGAGTAAAAAGTGAGGAATGGTTAGCTAGTTATAACTATGCAGGGTGAGAGGGCCTCTGGGTCCACAGCAAATAACAAAAGTCAAAGAAATAGTGTTACAGGGCTCTCCTTCTGGTTCTCCATCCTGCTTCCTTCCTTCTCAGTCCCTTCTGCAGTTTCTTCTCCCTGCTCAGCTCCACCCTTTTTTGGGTGGGGCAGGAAACCTGGAACCTCCCCCTTTCCTGGGGATCACCCTGTTACAATAGCACCTAGGATTGTGCAGCAGGTGCTGCCTCTCTGGCAGGCTCCCAGTCTTAGTAAACTCTGGCCCTCTCTCACATTGGGGACAGAAGGCCTCTGGGATTTGGCACATTGCTCCTTCTTCTCACTTGAAGCAGGAGTATTACTGGTTTTAAAACAACCTATTTCAGTTTTCTCCCATATTGACTTTGCTTGGTTTTGTGTGTGTGTGCATGTGTGTGTGTATGTGCTTATATGTGTATGTGTGTGTGCGCATGTGCTTGTGTGTGTGTGTTCCTAGGGAAGCACGTGGGATACCCTGAGAGGGATAGACTTTTTTTTTAAAAAAGATTTATTTATTTATACAAGCATGGGGGTACAGGCCAGAGGTGTGGGAGGGTGAGAGTATTCACCAGAAATGCAGTGGAGAGCAGAATAGGCAGATCTACTGAAATACACTGCTGAGAGGAGCAGCAGGTGAGATAGGAGAGGTCTGCCATGCCATGTGGGGCTCCCTGGCCAGCCGGGAATAGAACCCATGCTGAAGAGGCTGCGGACAGCTTCACAGCGCTGTGCTCAACCTGCTGCACCACCGGGGAGGCCCGGGATAGACTCTTTAAAGTCCCCTTCTGTAGGGACTACAGCTAGATATGACTGTCAGTGGGTTGCCCAGGTTGACAAAGTTACCTTTAATAATACCTATTGTCCTTTATTTAGGAATTAAAGTCAGTAAAATACTAATTAGGAATGAATGAAATGGGATGAAATGAGCTTATTAAATGAAGGCTACAGAACAATGATAACTGAAAGGGTGTTAGCTGAATCTTCCCTCTCCGTCCTTTACCAGAATGTTGTAAATGTCCTGAGCTGTGTGAAAAGATTGTAAAAACTCTGTCCTTGAGCAGGTCAGAATGTCCTCTTGCAATTCTAACCCGTTCCTGTATCCCATTCCACCACATTCATACCCCTCATTGTCTGCTTTGTATTAGGTAATCGCAGTTAATCTCTTCTTTCTTCTGTCTTTGTTCACAATTCCTATGTCAGCAGCCAGTCCTCATTAACTTTATGTCTAAACCTTGATGATATCCCATTTATTTAATGACAGAATTTCAGAACTCTTAAGCCCCTTAAAAGTGTTCTTCAAAATGCCAAGTCTTTTCCTGCCTACTAGAAACCATTGGCCCCACATCCTTAGCCATGTGTCTCTGTGCTTGCAAATTGAGCAAGCTGTCTGGATTTTTTCATGTGAGGAGAGCAACTCCTTAGTTAGATCTGACCTGAAAATGTTCTCACATTTAGGAGAAAGCTGTATTTATGTAGCAATAGCAGACACTACCCCAGTCTCGTCTACCAGGTTACCTGGTGCCTGAGGGTTTATTCACTTTTTTTCCAGTAACAATAAATGAACACCACAAGGAGTTGGTTTGCTCAGACAGTTAATTTCTCTCTGAAATTTCTCTTGATTGAATGTCCATGATGCAATTGCTTTCTTATTTTATTATTACTTTTTATATTCATTTTCTTACATCACTGTCAATTTTTGGTCAATATTTGATTTCTCCCCTTAGGTGTAGTCCCCATAGTTTTGCCACCCCCATAGCACCCGTGATCCATCATCAAAGTCCCTTGTGCTCTTCTTTCCCCTGTTTAGGCCTCTCTCTCTCCCCCTCCACTGCTGTATATCTCAGATATACAAAGACTATATATTTTGTATATCAAAATATATTGCTCAATATATTTTGTCTACTCTTTGGGGAGCTATAAAAAACTTTCCTGATCTGTCCTTTAAAGGGTGAACACCTTTGCATTGCACCCCACATTTTCCCACTTGCATCCTATTGTTTGGCATCTTGGTTCTGGGTCTTGCCTTCATTTCTCAGTCCTGGACTGCAGCTGTCTCTAATACTTCCAGGCCTGGACAGGAACAGAGCTGGCTGTGACATTTATCAGCTCTGTGACTGGGAAAGTCATTCAGTTATTCAGTACCTTTAAGTTTCATTTATTTCTTTATCTGTGAAATTGTAAAAATAATAATACATAATTTAGAATTGTGGCAAAAATAAATGAGGCTCTAAAATCTGTTACTGAATTACAGCATTTTCTCTAAAAATCCTTACTGTAAGTATTATTGTATACTTGCTTATAAAAAATGAAAACTTCAAATGAAAAGACAAATGCAACATTAATATGGCTTGCACTGTGTTGGGCAGTCATTTTGCTGGTGACCCGGTAACAGATCCTCACCTTGATTTTTCTAGATTTTTTTCCCTTATATCTTGTAGTTGGCCCTTCATGTATGTTAGCTCTTCATCTGAGGATTCAACCAACTGACATTCACAGTTGGTTGTATACCTGAATACGCAAGCCTCAGAAAAAGATTCTGTAAGTGGACCTGCACAGTTCAAACCCATGTTATTCAAGGGTAAACTGTATTTTGGATCCCCAGGGGAAAAACAGAGTTAAATGAATCCATATCAATATACCTTGGTAGAAATTGAATGAAAAATCAAAATACATGCAAAGAAGACCTCCATCACCTCTGTGGTATATGGAGTAGCTATTCTTTAACTGTCTTTAATTTCTTTAGGGGAACAAGGTGTGCGCTGCTGGTTATGGCTACTTTTTTCATCTTGTGACAAGCCGATCATCACATGCTCCTCTTGTCTCCTTCACTCAGAATGCTGCACATTCTTGTACAAGGTAACTTTGGTGAGGAAATCATCTACATGTTAGGTGTATAAGGCTTATGATTTAGCATCTTTGTGTTATAACACTCAGAGGGAGCATATAAGTTTTGACTTCTGTGTGAGCTGTGCAAGTGTTTTGGATCATAAAAGTTTGGGTGTGAAGGGAAGGGAATGGAAGAATCAAGTCAGGCAGCAGGAAGAGTAGCAGGGATGAGTGTGCCTTTTGTGGCCAGAGAAAAATTCGGTAGAGAGAGCAACTGAACTTCCAAGAGATTGGAAGCAGCTGGTAATGCAGAGCCCCTGAGTGACAGGTGGGCCTGGGCTCAGGACCTGAGTGGGGAATTGAGCCTTAGAGAAGAAGCTCTTTGCCTGTGACTTGAACACTATAAAGTGGGCAGAGGCTAGGGGAACCAGGTGGCGCAGGGGAAAAACATGGACGTCAATCAGTCAGTTCATTCAAATCCTGACGGTACTCTTAGTAAATTTTTTTTTGGGGGGGGAGGGTTGTTATCCTTATTTGTAAATTGAGGGCAGATCTACTTGGAATTTAATGTGAAAATTTGGGCTGACTAATGTAACACACCTAAGAAAACCTTTGGAATATAGTAGAACTTATGAATTGATATTTTCAATAATAATTATAGAGTATGGCTAGGATAGAAATTGATAAGGAGTGGCATGAGGATTAGGAATGATTGCTATGTAATGTTAAAGTGCCAGCTGAGGCTGGGATTAACACACGTATTGTGAAATTCTCATTGTGATTACGAAGATTCTGTGTAGCAGCATTTCATAGCCCTGCAACGGGAGAAAGGGTGGAAGCAGCCAGAGTACAGCAGTGACAGGGTGTTTCTGGGAGGAGAAAAAAGGATGGAAGGATGATGGATGCTGGATGCCAAGGGGGTAAGTTTAGAAGGGAGCTGACAAGATAGGGGGATCATGTTCTCAAGGGCTGGATGAAGGGGTCCAGACTCCTGGGGAGTGAGTCTAGAAGGAGCTGAAAGAATAGGCTTGGATCATGGCAATCTGCATCTTGCTGGGATCTGGCAGCAGGTCACAGAGGGTGACAGAGTGGAAATGTTGAAGGATGAACAATGATAGTCAGAGAGAAGGGTCACAGGTCTTACCTCCACTCTCCCTCATTCATTACCATTACTTTTATAGTTTTCAGTGAGAAAAAGTAGAAGCTTGAAACGGAAATTGGCTAAATTTCACTCGTTTTGTTTCCTAGGAGTGGTCTCTTTGTATACCCCAAGTTTCAGCCGCCTTGGGATAATAGCACTGGCCCCACCCTATTCCAACATTTTGTAGTTTGGGGAAGTGCAGGTGGTGCTCAGGTACGTTTCTTTTATTTATTTATTTTTTTAAATTGAAAACATCATTTGTTTTCTCTGAGAGGAGCATAACAATGTTATCACAGTTTTAGAGTGTCAAGAGCACATCATAGGTATATGTGGGATAGTTCTTCAATGGGCAAATTCCTAGTCAGTAAGCCAGAGTTTCTTCATTTACTTTGTGGTGACTTTTCAACAGCTCTCATGGAGAACACCCAAATCATGGAGATTTTTAGCCAGGAGGACTCATAAAGATTGTCCCTTCCTCCCCTCCCATGCCTATTTAGATGTAAAATAATAAGGCTTAGAAAGTAAAGGGGCTTGCCAAAGGTCACACAGTTAATTACTAGCACAACCAAGTACAGAATCCAGACCCCAAATGTTGTGCATTTGAGACCCTAACATCCTAACTAACATATGCCTCAGTCATTAAATGTGCCGTCCATCATTTTGTGGAACACAAAAGTTTCAGCTCAAACTGCCATTCTTACCTTGATCACAAGCTAGATTTTCTTCTATTTTCCCTTAAGAGTAAAAAGCCCACATTCCATTTTCTTATAAGGAAGTCTTGCATGCTCATTGTTAATAGCAACAGGTAAATATTATCCACGGTCACTATTTGGTGCAACACAGAGAAAATTTCATATACTTGGTCTTTGCCACTTAGAAATTTGGAGTCTAAGGTACACAGTTGAAGAAAAATGTTTGTGTTGCACTTAGGAAAAAGACTAAAAACATTTAACTAAGTCATAGTGAGAAAGTAAGACATTTATTTCATATATCCTGCAGCAAAAAGATTATTGTGGATGGAGAAAGCCCCAAAATATATAATGAGGGTACTTAGCAGGTAAAATCTCAATTGTATTTAGTATTTTGTCCTCATTTAATTTTAAAAAGTACTTTGTTTCCCATAAGAACTTAGAATATAGGTGTGACAAATCCAGCAGAAAAATTTTTTGAGTCCCTCTTATACAGAGAAACAATTAATGCCTTGCAGAGGATTAAACCTTGCCTCCCTGCTCTTTAATAACCTTGTTCTAGAGGAAATAATCTAATAAAGCAAATACATTGAAACATGATCATTGGAGCCAATTTTCTCAAGTTCTGCAATCAAAAACACTAAACCCATCAAGGAAAAATAGATCCTTAAAGATCAACCCTTGTGCTCTAAAATTTAATCAACCAAAAGTTGAAATGATGTGAATGCTTTTTGAACTTTCATTTTATGAGGAGAGTGAAGAAATCAAATAATGCAATAACAAAGTATTATATTTAAAAAGTAACCACCGAAAACAATCCTGAAAAAGAAGAATAAAGAAGATATATATTGCCTTATTTTAAAACTTACTACAACACAATGTGGATTGGAACAGCATGGTTTGGGCACAGGGGTATCCATATAGGGCAATGGAATAGAACTCAGGGTCTAGAAATGAACCCATACATGGATGGGCAACTGGCTTTTCATGAGAATGCCAACACCTTTAAATAGTTTCAACAAATGGTGCGAGAGCAACTGGATAGTCACATGCAAAAGAATGAGTTGGAGTCTTATACTACTTAGAAAAATTAACTCAAAAAATATAAAAAATCTGAATGTTAGAACAAAAACATTAAAACACACAGAAGACAAGATAAAGGTAAATCTTCATGACCTTGGATTTAGCAACACATCCTTGGATATAACACCAAAAGATGAACAAACAAAAGAAAAATGGGATAAATTGAACTTTATCAAAATTAAATCTTTCAGTGTTTCAAAAGATCTCTTCAAGAAAATGAAAACACAACCTACAAACAGGGACAGAGTATTTACAAATCACGTATTTGATAGACGATGTATCTAGAATATATAAAAAACTCTTGCAACTCAAAAATAAAAAACAATAAAAACTCAACAATAAAAAAGGAGACCAAATTAAATATGAGCAAAAGACATTTCTTCAAAGAAGATAGCCAAAGTTTCATATGGCCAGTAAATATTTGAAAATATGTTCAGTGTACTTTTATAGAAATGTAAGTCAAATCCACAGTGAAATGCTATTTTGTACCCACTAGAATAACTAGAGTAAAAATGATAACAAATGTTGTTGATGTAGATAAATTAAAACTATCATACAACACTGGTGGGAATTTAAAATAGTCTAGATGCTTCAGAAAACAGTGTGGTAGTCCCCTCAATTGATTAAACATAAAGATACCTGTGATCCATCAACTCTATTCTTGGGTATATATCCAAAAGAAATAAAAACATATCTCCACACAGAAACATATGAAATATTTATAGAAACATTATTAGTAATGTTGCCAAAAGGTAGAAACCACCCAAATATTCCCCAAATGTACAGATAAATTTAGTATATTAAAATAATGGAATATTATTTGGTCATAAAAAGTAACAAAATTTTGATATAATACTACAATGTGGATCAACCTTAAAAATACTATCTTAAGTGAAAGAAGCTAATAATGCACACACACACACGCACAGACACAGACACACACACAAATGTGTACAGTATGATTACACACATATGAAATTCCAGAATAGGGAAATCTGTAGAGAGAAGATTAATGGTTACTTAGGGTTATAGAATATGTTGTTTCTTCTTAAAGTGAAAATGCTCTACAATTGTCTGTGGTAATGGTTGCACATATCTGTAACTATATTCAAATATTTCAGTTGCAAACCTTAAGCAGCTGAATTTTATGGCATGTGAACTATAGCTTAACAAACCTGTTTGAAAAAAGTAACCTCTGATACATACAGCCACATAAACTCTCAAATATTCCCAATTCTGTGTGACCTAAGGCAAATTCCCTAAATTATCCTACTTCACTGGTAAAATGGAAATAGTAATAGTACCTAAAAGAAAGTCTGTTTAGAGATTTAGATAAATACCTGTCTGTTAAGTGCCCTGATCTTCATATTGTAGATTATTGTAGATGCACAAAAACAATTGTTACAGTTATTGTTAGGAAACAGAATTGGGTAGGGATAGATAGATGATGTCTCTGGAAATGGTAACAGCAAGAAGTGCCTTCTGCATCAAGAAAACATACATTGTGTTTAAATTACATAAACTCATTATGAGAGATATCTGACTCTCATAAGTCACTTAGACATAAATGTCATGTATACAGATATTTAAATAAAATATTCCACTAGGTACAATTCCTACTATACCTAGTGTACTTACAAACTGTACTATACCTATAAATATAAATATATATCTATTGGATGATATTGATAATTCATTTTTAAAAATATTTTCTCAGTCATCTTAATTTGGAAAAGGAAGTAGTTCTATTGTTATGATTCTTTTGTAGATAAGAAAACTCTCTGGGGTGGTGGCGGTAAAATACTGGCTAAAATCATACAGCTGAGAATGGATGGATTCCAGCTCAGGCGATTTGACCCTTCTATATGTATGTTAATGAGATTTGAGAAAAGTACCATGTCCACACCGTGTCTCATAAACAGACTGATTCTTTTTGAGAAGAGAAATATTAGAGCACTTTATAAAAACTGTATTCACACCGCAAATGGTGCAGTTTGCTACCGTGTGTTGGTTTTTTAAATATATTTGCCAGAACTTGGATTGATGCGAGTAATTAGATAATAACTGTTGTCAAGTTATCAGTTCAGGCCATACCTGCTTTGTTTTTTAAAAAATCTTTTTGTCTCCAAAGAACTACTATTTTATAAAAGCAGTTTGTGCATATACAATGGGGATTGCAAATTAAATTTGAATATTTTTTGGCCTTTTATGTAATTTTTATTGCTGATATAATCTATGATTTTTACATTTTTACATATTTGATGGGTTTTGAGCAGTCTCTTTTTTTCTTAATTGTAATCAGCCTCAGAAATGGATTCAGTAGTATCTTAATAAATCTCTAACACACAGAACCAGCATGTGAGTTCCTTCTATTAGTAAACTTTATCTTGACTTTCCCAAAACATTGATGTAATATTAAGTATACATTTTGACCATTTGCAGTCACAAATCATTTTTTTTAAAGAGTAATTTATTTTTTTATTTATACAAGCATTGGGTACAGTCAGAACAGCACTGGGTACAGGAGGGTGAGAGAATTCACCAGAGCCAGAGCAGGGAACAGAACAGGCAGACCAACGAAATACACTGCTGAGGGGAGCAGTGGGCGAGGCAGAAGAGGTCTGCGTGCCATGTGGGACCCTCGCCGGCTGCTGGGAATTGAACCGGCGCTGCAGAGACTGCGGGCAGCCTCACAGCCCAGCGCTCAACCACTGTGCCACTGGGGAGGCCCCACAAATCATTTTAATTTTTTCCTTTTTTTTTAAAGTAACATTGGTTTACAACACTGTATGATTTAGAGATATAGGGAGATACCTCTTCAGATGAAGGACAAAACACCACACCCACCACCAAGGAACCCATCTTCCTCCACCATAGTCCACTGGGCCCCCTCCCTACTTTGCTCCCCACCCTCCACTTCTTTCTCTGGTAGCCTCAGATCTACAGTCAGAATTCTAAGGTTTGTTACTGGTTTGGTTTTATCTGACCCTTTGTTTTGTGTCTCTATATTCCACATATAAGTGAGATCATCAATATTGTCTTTCTTCTGACTTATTTTGCTTAGCAATATCCATTCCAGTTAAATCCCAGCACAAAGACTAACAGTTGAAAACATGAAGCTGAAAAGGAAACTCCTGCTTTAAAATATGAAAGTAAAATTAACCCTATTGAAAGAATAAAGAAATACCTTTATTAGGCTAATTGCTAGTCCTAACCTCCACCCTGATTTTAAAAATGGCTGAACTGAGGCCTAAGAGAAGTTAAAGACCTTGCCTAAGATCACATGTGAAAAACAAATGCTCTGTCTCCTAGACTAATGGGATTATTAACTCTTATAAGGTAATTTCATTAATAACTTGATCCCTGTTTGGGGCCAGTAACCCAAGTTGTAGTAAATGTATGTGCATGTATTTTGAGTCCATATACACTAAATGTCATGCTGAATTCCATCTTTCATAATGGCAATTTCCTGGCATTACTAATGAGCTATACTACCATGAGTAAAATGTTAAGCCCCTTCAATGCTCACTTTTTTCTGTATTAATTTTGTATGATGTGGCAAAACTAGTTTACACATGTGAAGAATTCACATTGACTTTTTTAACATATCAGTTATTATAAGGAGAATGAGTGCACAGTGAATGTTCTCAAACAAGATTAACTAGTGCTGACTTCACATCAACTTTGCAATGCCTGTGCAGATATTGATGGACAAATAAGCTGCTTAAAGATAGTATAGCATGTTTATTTGTACTTAATCAATAAGTAAAGAAGCTACCGAAAGTCTGCAAGAAAAATCAAGCTTCCAATCTTTGCTATAACATACACTGCTTTTTTATAGATTTTTAGAAGTAGTAATCTTCACTTGAAAAACTTCCAAGTTTATTCATGCAGAGATTTTGGAATTGACATCTTGGAAAGTGATGCAAATACGTCAGTCACTGACAGCTTGATACTTGGTCACTTTGCCCACAAGGTAAGTACATCAGCGTCGTTGTTTTAGGCTGCTCATCAAAACAATCTTATGTACTGGGCTCCCTGTTGATCCAGTCTATGTAATTTTAACAATAATCTTTACTGAAGTTTGTATTTAATTGGTATAAGTTGAGGAGCTTTTTATTTTAGCAGTGATGATATTTATAATAAGCTTCAAATATATATACGCTCTCAATGTTATGAGTCCGTATAAATCATAAAAGTCATGAGTAGCTTGCAGAATTTATATTTGATTACAATTTGGCTTTATTAAGCACATCAATTTAATAATAAAAGTAATAATTTAATTTTCTCTAACTTTGCAAGGATTGTGGAATTTAGCATTATTCCATATTGTCTCTCTACTCATGGGTTACTAAGTTTCTACATTAACATTTTGCTCAGAGGCCTTTTTTTCATTTAGGGTGCCCCCTGAAAAAGAGGTAGAATCAGCTAATATAAACTTGCATTGTTGCTGTGGTACGTACAAGGAATCTCATGTGATTCCTAATAATTGCCTAGGTAGGGGTTTCTACATAATAAATATCAAACTGTATCAAATGTCAAATGACTTCTCTGCCATTGTGTGGCCAGGGTGCCAGAACATAGACCAGGCAAAGGGGCTACCCAGATGAAAAGTACTAGGTTTCCCAAAGGGAACTTATGGCTGCCATTGGTTTCTGTAGGCTTCAGACCTACAAGAGTAGACTTTTTTTTTAAAAAAAGAGAGGTATGCACATTATCATATTGTCATAATAATCAGTTGGGAGAGAACTGCAGTGTCCTGGAATCCAAGAAAGGAGCATTCTCTGCAATTTGTTCCTAAAGGTCTTGACCAGTTGAAATGTAAATGATAATGATTGGCTTTTAAATTTCCCTTGGAGATTATTTCATAGCTAGAGAATAGAAATATTATGCTTAAAAATACCATGCTCTTCTTAAACTACATTTTCCTGCTTAATTCTCAAACTTCCTTAGGTAAAACTTATTGATCCAGTTTACTCAAGAGGGAGATACCTGCCAGCTTTTCCTTTCCTCTGAAAGGATTAGCACCTTGAGAGATGATTCTTCTTTTCAGCCTGCATAGTTTTCAAGGGAAGAGGGATCCAGGTTTAGATTTTGTAATACTGGTAGATCCAAGGTCCTGATAAATATAATCAGAAATAACCTTAGAGAAGATGCTAAAAAAAGAAAATACCCATCAAAATGAATAACTGACTGTCTTGGAAAATTAATGTCAAAACAATTTAATTGAAACTAAATAGATGACATAATTAATGGGAGAGTGACATAAATTAAGATATAAATAATGACAAGGGGTGCTTATCATGAGATAATGAAATATAATCACACCCCTGGGGAATGATTCAGTAGGAATGCAATGTAGCTGTGGGCCCCTCAGTCTTCAGTAAGTGCTGGACAAGAGTCCCCAGATGGAATTAGTTTATTCTAGGATCTAGAATCTAGGATCTAGGAATCCAGATCCTGGTTACACTTAGATACAAATCACAACACCATACATTTTAGGAGCTAAATAATACCTTAGAGTTGATCAAGTTAGAACTCCTGAATTTATAGAGGTAAAGAAAAGGAGGTTCCAGGAAGTGAAGTGATGACCCATGATTCATGCCCAGCATTGTGGGGCTCCATCCACATTGATACTTTCCTATTCCTGGTCAAATACTCAGTTACACATGGAAAATGACTTTGGCAAGGAGCATTTTATTAGTGCCTACTCCAATATTCCCTGAAGTGTTTTCCACGGAAGGCTACTCCCAAGAGAGTATCTGGTAAAAGGAAGATATTTTGGATAATTCAATTTAGAATATGCTATTTTTTATACTTCCCCCCAATCCACTGAAATTCACTTTGCCTGTTAACACATTAAAAACTTTGCAAAATCCTTTAGGTAAAACAAACAAAAAAAAATTTATCAGTCTTTATTTCTCAGATTTATTTGGAGATTACTTTATTGCCATACACAACTGTTCTCAGTTTTTTTTTTTTTTAAAGAGGATGCCCACCCTGATTTCAGTTTCTACCTTTCATGCCCCTAACTCTTTTAGGATTGAAAATTTTCAGAATATTTGGCCTATCCATTCTTAGACCTTCCACCCACATGTGGCCCACAATTATCAGTGAGTCATCTTCTAAAACAAACATTAGTTTCTGGAAGAACTTTTTATTAGAAGGAATTTTTTTTTCCTTTAAGCATACTTGTGTAAATGTTAGTACTGGCATACCAAGTCTTACTTTTATGTTGAGACGGGAAGCATAATTTTTAGTGTGGATGGCTTTAATATACACAGAAAGAGATGTGCTATTCCACTCCTGTACATTCCAATTTGGCTTGTACATTCTTATGCCTGTTGACCCATCTAATTGGGATCCCCTTTCACAATCCCAAAGATATCCTGTCTTGGATATAAATTGTCACCATGCTACTTTTGGAAGAATCTGTAGGATGCAACCCCATTAGACACATGCTGATGGGGTTGCTACATTCTTCCTCGAATTTCTCTAGGAGTTACTCTCTGTTTTCACTTGTGGATTTGTCTTCCTCAATTTAGACCTTTCATCTTTTTGCTTCCCTAAATTCTACTGTCAGGCCCCTCTCTTCTCAATATACTTGCTCTCCCTGGGAGAATTCTCATTTTCTCTGGTGGTTTCAATTACCATTCAGACGCTGATGTCTCCCATATATTTGCATTTATTTCTACTGTCTTATTTTGTGCTTGCCATTTGCAATCAGGTTTATTTTTTTTCTATTTCCAAACTTGATTTGTCTTGCATTGAATAGTATCTTTTTTTTGTATTTGCTCACTTGAAAGTTATTCATTCTGTTATTACTATTTTCATATTGGACTTAATTTTTTAGCATCCCTTCTTGTCTGAAGGAACTCTAAATTACATCAGCACTGTTAAGTTTTACCTGAGCAATGCAAGAACCTTAACCTTTTTTTCACTCTTCCATATTGTATTTTACTTTTCTGTAGAATTTGCCCTAATTTTAAAAAATAAATGTTCCATGAAAATATAACATTTTTTGAGAGAAGCACACATATCACAAAAGAAAAGATCAGTAATTTTTATAAAGAGAACAAACTGTGTATAAACCACCTAGATCCACAAATGGAACATTATCATTTCCTGTGAGGCTCCTTCATGCCCGTCCCATTCACTCCTGACCTCTACCCCCCTGCCAAGGGGAATTCATTATTCAGACTTCTGTCAACACAAATTAATTTCAGATCTTTTTTTGAGCTTCATATAAATGGAACCCTAGAACACATGAGTTGTCTGTGCCTGGCCTCTTTGGCACAGCACTGTCTATGAGATTCATCCGTGTTGCTATATGTTACAGTGATTTAGTGTCCTCATTGTTATGTGGTGTTCCATTTCATGACTATGTCACAATTTTGTTAAATTGTGTTGGTATTGATGAGCACTTGCTTATTTCCAATTTCAGGTCATTATAAATCATAATGTTAAGAACATTATTCTATATGTCTTGCTATTCATGGGCTTGCATTTCTCTTGAACATGGGCCAAGGATAAAACTGCCAGGCTAGGTCATACCTTTCAGCTTTAATGGATAATGCCAAACAATAACCTAAAGTGTTCACATTTGCACCAGCAGTATGGGGAATGGATTTACAGCTAGGTCCTAGAGTTTATCTTGTTCATTCTGGAGATTTCCTTTGTCTCCCTAGAATTGACCTTTGTTTTTTTTTTTTTTTTTAAGAATTAACTTTTTTAAAAAGATTATTTATTTTGGGCCTCCCTGGTGGCATGGTTGTTAAAGTCTCAGCACTATCAAGCTATCACCAGCCACTGTGGCATGAGTTCGATCCCCAGCCAGGGAGCTAACCCACACAGCACAGCAGACCTCTCCTATCTCACCTGCTGCTCCCTCAGCAGTGTATTTCAGTGGGTCTGCCTGTTCTGCTCCCCACTCTGTCTCCTGTGAATCCTCTAAACCCGCCCCCCCCACAACTCTGGCCTATATCCCAATTCTATGCATAAATGAATAAATAATTCTTTAAAAAATTTTAAATTTATTTTTTACGTAGAAGAGCTGAAGGTAGGCAAGAGGTATAGGGGCTGAGAGGATTCACCAGAGATAGATTTGGGGAGCAGAACAGGTGGATTTACTGAAATACACTGCTATGGGGAGCCGTGGGCAAGTCGGGAAAGGTCTGCTTCCCCATATCTGGGTTAGTTCTCTGATGGGGATTGAATCAGGCAATAGTGGTGATAGAGCTGAGACTTAACACTTAGGTTACCAGGGAAGACCTAGCATTGAGCTCTTATTCTCAATTCCAACATCTTCCTTCTTTTGGATTTAATTTTTCATTTTATTACTTTGTAGTCCATAATATCTTCTCTTAAAAGTGAGGGTCTCAAGGAAGGTAACAATCTTGAGTTACAATTAGTTTATAGTAAAATTGGCTTCCTTACATGTCATTTATGCTTGGTCACCATTTCTTAGAATTTATTGAGAATTTGTTGCATGATATAGTATTTTATCCCTTATGATTGCAGCGTAGTATTCCACTATATGAATCTACCATAGTTTATTTATCCATCCATTTGTTGAAGGATATTTGATTTGTTTCCAGATTTGGTGATTATGAATGGAACTGTTATAACCATTCATGTAAGGCTTTTGTGTCAACATAAATTTTCATTTCTCTAAGGTAAATATGTGAGAGTTGAATTACTAGATTAGATAAGTACATGTTTAACTTAATAAGAAACTGCCAAACCATTTTCCGCAGTTATTATGTCATTTTGCATGCCCACCAGCAAAGTATGAGGGTTTCAGTTATTTATTTTTTTAAGATTTATTTATTTATGCATACAAGAACTGGGGTACAGGCCAGAGGTGTGGGGGGTGAGAGGATTCACTGGAGACAGAGTGGGGAGCAGAACAGGCGGATTGACTGAAATACACTGCTGAAGGGAGCAGCAGGCAGGCCAGGCAGGGTCTGCTGCGCCATGTGGTAGCTCCCTAGCTAGCTGGGTATCAAACTTGTGCTGCAGAGGCCATAGATAGCTTCACAGTGCTGTGCTTAACCCCTTGTGCCACCAGGGAGGCCAGGGTTTCAGTTGTTTCTTATCCTCACTAGCACTTGGGCACTTGGTATTGCCACTGTGTTTTTATTTTACCATTATAACATGCTTATATTGTTTCTTCGTGATTCTTAGTATATGTGTGATTGACAAATACTATCTCTCAATCTATAACCTGTCTTTTTAATTTATGAATTATTTTATTACTATCTATAAATTGTATTTTATATTACTGTTGTCTTACTTTTCTTTATTTTTTTTTTCTTCTAAATCACAGGGAAGCCTATGCATGTCAGCTGGGATCAGAACTCCCAAAAGATGGGAACTGATAATATCTAACACAACCTTTGTTAATTTTGATCTCACTGACTGTGTGGCCATCAGGACCTGTTCAGGCTGTTCCCCAGGGCAGGGTAAGTTGTTTGAATAGATAAGATACACAGTAAGGCTAATACTTAAGCAAGTTAGATCAATGCAACTGATCCCTGAACAGCATAAACTTGATTTTTCAAAAAATTTTATGAATGCACAAGTTGTTATACCTATAAATAAAAATGACACTGTTTTACATTATCTTTTCATTTTTAACATCTTAACATTTTCTTTTCTCTAACTTAATTTGTTGTAAGAATAATACATGTAATATACAAGATGTCTGTTAATCTTTGATTAATCTACTGTTCTTAATAAGGCTTCTGGTTAACAACAGTTTATTAGTTAAGTTTTGAGGGAGTCAAAGTTATCCATAAATTTTTGACTGTGCAGGAGTCTCGAAACCTAATACCTGAGTTATTCAGGGGTCACATAAAATGGCAAAGTCTTGGTGATTCTTTCTTTCTTCAGTTATAAGATTGCATTAGCAGAGACTACTTCTCAAGTTCCCTACCTGAGGTCCTGGAGGAGCCTGGGTACTCTCACTGTGGCTGCTGTGATAGTGCCTGTCTTTTCCCTTTCTTTTCCTGTGATGGTGCCTGTCTCTGCTGCACTCTGAGCTGCAAAAAGGTGCACTCTGAGCTGCAAAAAGGTGGGAATCATGTCTCTCTTGCTCAGTTTCATCACTAGTACCTGGTGCCTCATTGGTTCATTGTTCATCGATTAAATAAATGTGTAGAGTTGGATGGATATAAATGAACATACATGCAATTTTTCCTGAATTAACTAGGATTCAGGTGCTTCATGTTTACAACAGCCCAAGGCTTGTTGTATGCACAAAATGAATCATAGGAATTCTTGTTCACTTGTTAACCACATCTCAGAGGTGGTGAGAAATACCTAGGAGGACTCATGGGCCAAGGTGAAGAGAAGTAGAGAGCAATCTCGTTGATTTGATCATTGTAAACAGCCAAACCCAGTAATTCAAGTAAATATGCTCTTGTGGTTTGAATCGCTAATTTAGATAATTGTTTGTTTTTTTTTAATTAAATGAATAATCAGTGAGTCCCCACTTCCTTTTTTTTTTTTTTTTTTTGTTGTTGTTGTTCTGTATAGGCAAAACCAAAAATTGTTTTTATTTGGGTAGCATCTGAGTTTCAGACTGTAGAAATAATTGCAGGAATAAAAAATGCCTTAATGGCAATCATTTAAAATCACAATTCCTCTGTTCTTTAATAGCTTCACTCTTTCATATCATCCATAGGACACTGAGAAAAGAAACACTCTTACTTATGAGCTGGAGTTCCCGCTGCCTGAATGATCTTGGATCATTTGTTTAAAAATTGTTGATAACCAGTTCCTTTTAAGAAACTGTGGGGGTGGGGGGAGAGGGGTGGGGTACAAAGATGGAAGATGCATCATTCTTGTCCTCTAGGAGCTCTTGATCTAAATACAAGGATAAATGTCTAGGTCAGTCACAGAGTATGCTGAATGCAATATTGGAGGACTAATGAAGGTCAGTGAAGTGACCAAGGCAGTAGCTCAGGTAAGATTTCATAGAGGTCATTATGAAAAGAGGTCACATCTTGAAGGGTGAATAGAAGTTTGCAAGGGGAATGAGCAGGGAAAAATTTCTAGGTATTAGAAACAGCATATGCAAAAAATTGAAACACAGAAGAGCCAGTTATACTGGGAGAATTGCGAAGAATTCCAATATGACTGAATTGTAGAGCTTCAAGTAGTTTTAGTACCAGGTGAACCACAGAAATTGCAAGTGATGAGATTTCTGGACCTACTAAACATAGAGCTTCCATATGATCCAGCAATTCCACTCCTAGGTATTTACCCAAAGGACACAGAAACATCAATTCCAAAGAACACCTGCACCCCTATGTTTATAGCAGCACTGTTTACAATAGCTAAGCTTTGGAAACAGCCCAAATACCCAAAAATAGATGACTGGATCAAGAAGATGTGGTACATATACACCATGGAATATTACTCAGCATTCAGAAAAGATAAACACATGCAATTTGCAGCAACATGGATGGCGCTGGAAGGGATCGTGCTCAGTGAAATAAGCCAGAAAGAAAAAGAAAAATACTGGATGGTCTCACTCATAGCAGGAATCTAGAAAACTTAAATAAGGGACCAGGAAAATGAATAACTATAAGAAAGTGAAAATCAAAATCAACAAAAATCTATGAAACAGAGACACTTTTTGGGGGGTGGGTGGAGGGAGGGGAGGGATTGTGGTCAAAATGGGGGGGTTGAAATTGTATGGGGAATATAAAAATAAAATTTATTATAAAAAAATAAAATAAAAAAAAATTGCAAGTGATGGCATCAAGATCTTTAACACGTGACAATTCCCTACAGGTCCTCGACTGGGATGCAGAATGAAAACATTTTATTTGTATCTTATTATTTTTTCTTTTTTGGGAGGTATATTTTATATTGTATGTGGTACACTGGTATATGTGCAAAGAGATGGCTGCTCAATTTTTAAATTTTAATGCCAGGGGTGTGGGAATTGGTAAACTTCCATTGCAGTTTCTTCCTGGGCAACAAGACTAGCTGTAGTTCTGATGAAGCGCACAGAGGTGGTATGAGGGAAGACTGCTAAAAGGGTGAGCCTAGAGTAGACACATAAAAAATATGTTACTACTGCTTTATGTCCACATGATTGTATTAATGTGGCTTTTGTGGGATCACATTTAAAGTACAAACCTCAGAAAAGGTGGAGTACAAAGAAAGAAAAACTACACCATAACCCTTGCTGTTGTGCTTTCCTGTTTTCCACTAGACCACAGTTTTGCTCACCCTTGGCACTGTTGGTGCTTTGGACTGGATAAATTTTTTGTTTTGGGGACTGTGCATTGAGGATATCCAGGAGGTTCTCTACCTCTAGTTACCACATGTTATAGTACTGCCGTACTCCTGTCTGTAAAAGCCAAGCTGACTCCAGTTAGTGCCAAATGTCCTCCAGAGGGCAAATCCATCCCTGGTTGAGAATCACTGCCCTAGAGTACAGGTGCGTGAAGGCAGCGCCAGTGTGCTCTGGCTTCCCCGAATCTCCAGCACACACCACAGAGCCAGGCATTGAGTCAGCAAAGCGATATTGTTCTTGAACAGATAAGCAAATTTAAACCTGGATAATTTTATAATTTAAAGTACTGAAAACTCCCTGGTGAATCTAGCTGCTATCTGTGAAAACCATCTTTTTTGCAATTGTATAACCATCTGTCTTCCAATTTATAGGCGGATTTACGGTGACGACCAGCAAGTTGAAGTTTACAAACTCTTCAAATTTAGTAGCATTTCCATTTCCTCATGCAGCAATTTTGGAGGACTTGGATGGTTCTCTGTCTGGGAAAAATAGAAGTCATATTGTTGCTTCTATGGAAACACTTCCAGCTTCTTGTTCAGTCAATGCAAGCTTCAGCCAGATTGTCCAGGGCAGTGTCTGCAGGGAAGATGTTCTCTTCCATCGTCTGTCTATTGGTTTGTAAGTTGTATGGACAATACTTTTTAGCTTGCCAATGGCTATGCATATATTATTTGGGCTATTGATGTTTCTAAGAAAGGAAATTATGGCAAGATGGAGTATTTAGTTCTACAAAAGTGATGTGGGACTACTTTATACAGCTTCAAATCATAGTTGAAGGTAGTTTTTGTAGGTTCAAACAGCAGTTAACTTTCATTATCACTTAACCAGATCTGGTAGTCTATGACCTCTTATTGACATTTGAGCTAATAGCTTCCTCTTGAAAAGACTTGCAACCAATAGAGAATTTGAAATGTATTTAAATTTAAAGTATTATTAAAAAATTCCAATAATGTCCATTTTCATTTATATACATGTACTCTCCCCAAGCTCTTTTTAAGTGTTCAATATGCTCCAGGGAAGCAATTGCTGATGTCTTCCTATTACTTGCAAAGTTGCTTCACTCCAGTTCATTTTCCTTGTTAATTTCATGAACTATTGGATTCGTACAATACATTTCGTATTAATATTGGAGCAAGGACTCCTTGGTTATGCTACTCAGACTACCATTAAGTCAGCAGCTGGGCTGTTTATAATGCATAATAGGATTGCTTCTACTCTCTTTAATTTCCAGGTAATGATTGCTGAGTGTCTAGGGTTCTGTCTTTTACCTATTTCAAATGCATTGTATATATTTAGCCACACTTCTTTCCTCCCTTTGTTTTAAGTGTCCTCACTGCATGAATATTAAGTCAAGTGATTCAGCCACACCATGTTGGCATTTTATTTAAATAGGCAAACTCTAGCGAATGAGTCAGTGTGGTCAGGACTGTACAAAGTCTGCTTTTTGAATACAATCAGTATCTCGACATTCTACTTTGGAAGACTTAGCAATCCATGCGAGCTTTGAATAGTCTCAAAATTTTCCACGTTTGCTTTCCAAACCATTTATTATTCTATCTAATGTTAGTGGGCCCAAATCCAGGGAGTAAAATAACAATTGGAGGGATGTGTTTTCATTTCTAATCATTTTGATTGTGCAGTTCATAGCTTTTATTTTTTTCATTTTCAGGGACACATTCTTATTTTTATTGTTATTTTAGTGATTTTACCAAAGATAATTTTTAGTGTTTTAAGATTTATAAAAGTGTTTTATTTCTTATGTGCATTTTTTTAAAAAGAGGAAAATTAAAATAGATTCATGTAGTTAAAAAGAATATCATGTGTTTGTATGAGGGTTATTGCTCTGTTCTTAATACTCCTTTTTATGCCTTACTTTTAAAAATGTCTGGTAGACTGTCTCCAGGAGAAGCACTTAATGATGTGGTGTTAGAAGGCTCTGCAGATGTCATTCTGTCTGAGCAGCTGTTCTTGGAGATGTGCAGGACAGTTTCCTTAGGTGTTTACCTTGGTAGCAGACCATAATCCTTGTACTATGGGACTGACAAGGTAAAAGAGATAATAATCTTGACACAATATTCTGTGTAAATTCAAAAGACATCTAGTAGTGTAGAAAATTCACCATGGTTTGTCTGGAGGTTTTAAAACAGAAAATCTCATCTCCAGAAACTTCTTCCATTCTGCCATTCTGAGAAAACCAGAATGGATGGTCAGCCTAATCCCTGTACTTCTCTTAATATTTAAGTCTTCAGGTTGACTCACAGGTCTGTGGACAACTGCTCCCTACCCTAGTTGGGCCCCAGAGAGATCTCAGCATGCTCCCAATTGTCTCCTGGCTCCACTTAGCTTTAGGATTAGGCAGTTGGATCAGATGATTTCTAAAGGTCTTATTATTCAAGGTGTATCAGCACTACCTAGGCATCTGTTAGATGTGGGAAATCTCGGACTCCACCAGGTGACTTATATTCAAGTTGGAGAAGCATTCCTCTAAGGTCCTACTAACTTTCTCTTTCTATGATTCTCTCTAGCTATTTGTGCTCAGTGACTTGATCTTTGTCCCAGAGCATTATAACCTCATTAGGAACATGTCAGAGCTAATGAGCAATTTGAATTCAGCATTGATACAAACTTTGCTGCATTTCATGGAGAAAGGATTAATTTGTTGTGCTATTTGCCCTGAAGCAAGCACCCTAAGAGTTGATTTACAAAGCTCTCACAGTCTTGATCTTTTGGGGTTGCATGTTGATGGAGATCTGATATGGCACAGCATCCTGCTGTGTTCCCTTTCAGTTCTTACCCCTCCTCCCTCAGCTTGAGCTCTCCAGAGAGCAGGGTGTGGGGCTCTACAGAGCTGCACCAACAAGGCATTCTCTGCCCCCTTTGCTAACTAGCACACCCTTGGAGTGTGATTTCTTCCTTGGAAGGTTTCCTGCCTGGTCCATTTTCCCTCTAAGTTCTTTGACATTGGTTAACTTCTGTCCCAGTCCTTTACTACCTTCTTGAAGTCTAAGAGCACCCACATTTGTAGCACATCCTTTTTTAATAGCTTTCTCTGATTCAACTCTAGCATATACATATTTTTAAAAGATTTATTTTTATTTATTTATGCATACAAGAACGGGCTTATTGGCCAGAGGTGCAAGGGTGAGAGGATTCACCAGAGACAGAGTGGGGAGCAGAGCAGGCAGATCTACTGAAATACACTGCTGAGGGGAGCAGCGGGCGAGACAAGAGAGGTCTGCTGTGCCATGTAGGTCATCTCCCTGGCCTGGGATCAAACTCATTCTGCAGTGGCTGCTGATAGCTTGATAGTGCTGAGACTTAACCTCTTGTGCCACCATGGAGATCCTCATATATGTATTTGAAGTTGGTAATAATATTTACACCTCAAGTGTCTTCTACAAGTGTCTTTCTACGTGGCATATTTCACTTTATGTTTTGTTAGAATGACATGCTTGTTCTGCATGAGTCCTGCATGTATTGTTCTCTATCTCACTCACCAGTTTTAAAAAAACAAATACTTTTTTTATAAGGCACAGGTATTCTGGATAGTGTTTTATTTATTTTTTTTCTCCTACCAGCTTCTGTTTCTGCCAATCCCATTCTACCCACTCCATCCTTCCTGAGAAGACGGGTGTGCTCTCATGCCCACTGGTGCAAGTCAGACCTCATTTCAGAAAAAAAATTGTCAGCAACCAATTTTCTTCAGAGATTCTCATGGTGACATGCCTCACATAGTTCTTGGGTTTATCAACCCTAAAATTTAGATAATTTTTTTTTCTGTATAGAGATAAATTATGTGGAACAAAGATAATACCACCAATAGATTTTTGTGTGCTCCTTCCATATCTCCTTTGTAGTAAGCTCTTTTCTTAATTGAGGTAATTTTGGTGTATAGCATTGCATATGATTTAGAAATTTAGGTTAAGCTCTTCTTGTCTCTGAAATGCTAGTAATGGAAACTTAGACTAGAAAAGTTTAGGAGTGACATTTTCACAAGGTCAAAAAACAAGAGGTGGGGAAGGGATAATTAATGAATTGTTAAACTGGCTATGGAAGTTTCCAGGAATCTGAGGTGAAGGCAGAAAGGATTATCAGTTATAGAAAACCACCCCAATCTGACCCTAACATGATAAATTCCACAGTCATTTCATCAAAGAACACTATATAGGATACTTTTGCTCTGGCAAAGTGAAGACTTTGCCTTAAGATCTCCTGCCTGTGTCCATGCAGGCTTTCTTTTCCCTAGTAAACCAACCCTTTTAAATTGCAGCCTTAGCCCATTTGTATCTATGCAAACATCTTTTTCCTAATAAAATTTTCATATGCCACTAAACAGGAAACTCTGCTATAATCTTCCTTAGTGGGAACCCAAGTATCCCACTCTATTGTTCCTGTAGATGTTTTCCTTTCCTCTCCAGTGATACTGTTCCCCATGGATCTGACTTATGTTACTGCCTCAGTTAATTAGCATTGCTGATTCTAGGTCTTTTCTTTTGGTTTGCACTGCTATAATGAACTCTTTATCTATTTATTGAATTGCTCTTGGGACCTGCATGACTCAGTATGGTAACCACTAGTCACATAAACCTACAAATACTTGAAATATGTCATCCATACTAAGAGATGCTATAAGTATAAATTATATACCACATTTCTAAGAATTCATATGAAAAAAAAATATAAAGTCACTCAATACTATGTATTGTTTATGGTGAAATGATATTTTGGGTATATTGGGTTAAATATATTGTTGTTAGAACAATTATTGAGGTGACATTGCTTATCATATAGGATATCAGGTGTCCAACTGTATATTTTGACACCTGTATATACTATATTATCATCTCCACCAAAAATTTAACTTCCACCCACCACCTTAAAATTTGACTTCCTCAAATATATTTGAATGATTAATTTCACTTCTTGCTTTTACTTTTTTTAATATGGCTACTATAAAAATTTGAGATTATTTCTGAGGCTTGCTTTCATGACTTGCATTATGTTTTATTGAGCGGTGATATTTTCAGTATTTCCACTAGGCTCTTTAACAGCCATCTCATACTCAACTTACAAAACTGAATTTATGTTCTTGGAGTCTCTGGTATTCCAGCAATGGTCCAAACTATCTAAACTGGAAATAGTGAGTCATCTTTTGACTCATCTTCTTACCTTATTTCCCACATATATCGCCTACCAATTTCAATCTATTTTTGTCTCCTAAAAAAATCCCTCTTGGGTTTTCCGACTCTGCCTGTTCCCAGCTTCCCCTTTCTAGTCCCAGTTGCCATTACCTGTCACCTATATAACTACACCAACCTCTTAGTTTGCCACTTTGATGTACTCCCATCCTTGAATTTTGTAAATGTAGATCTGGTCTTCCATTCATTCATTCCCTAACTTGAGACTTTCTACTAGCTTCCCTTTTCCAAGAAAGTCTAGCTTTCTTAATATCTTCTTGGTCCTTTACAATCTGCTCCTTGTTTATAGTTCTAGCATTATCTCTCAATGCTTTGCTCTCCCTTTCTGTTGTTTTTTACCTTGGCTACACTCAATTTCTTTGTAATTTTCAATTCATAAGATTCAGTTCCATGAACTCAGCATGCAGGTCATTTTCTCTG